ATTATACACAGTATACATATATACATATATGTATATATATATATATATATATATGTATACTGTGTATATATAATTATATATATATATACTATATATAATTATATAAAATATATATATATAATTTATTATTATTATTCACAAACTTTTAGACCTGCCCATAATGTTGGGAAAAGTTAAAGGATGTTATGGGTCCTGAGGGTCTGTTTTTAACATGGATTTACAGCTCTTTGTTTATCCTCGCCAGATGCTCCGTCGTTCTGTTGCGTTCGAACCAGCCATCCTGAACAACAACAGGCAACAGACTAAATAATATATAAGGATATGCCCCTGATATATAATTTACCACTGGCTTGCGGTCACCGTTTAGCTCTTGGTTTTTCACGCTGTGGGTTTGACATGTGGAAGGTAGAGCTCTTGTGTGGAGATGCATTTTTGTGGTGAAGGAAAAGTCGAGGCATTCCAGCGGGTGGGGGTTGATGAAGCCGGGATCATAACTCTGCCCTTTCTGGCTCGGTCGCAAAGAGCCGCAGGTGCATCCACTCTGAGAGATTCCAGAGGCAAACAGATCTAATGGCAGAAGAATTGATGGTGTATTATGATATGATCCTGTCTATGCAGCGTGTGTGAATTCATTTTATTTGTATAATTTCTATATATTTTTAAATGAAGTAATAAACAACACAACATGCATAATACTATATGGTTACCATATTTGTATTAGTCACAATTAGGTTTTTATTAGCTTTTCTCTTTTCTCTTTATTAAGCAATAACTATTTTTTTTTCACATAATTTACACACACACACACACACACACACACACACACACACACACACACACACACACACACACACACACACACACACACACACACACACACACACACACACACACACACACACACACACACACACAGAGACAGAGAAAAAATGTTTGTAATAATTATTGGTTTGGATAGAAGTCTCTTATTATTTGATCAAAAATGCTGTAAAAAAAAGTAAAAAAAAAAAAAAATTACAATCTAACATAAACTATTTTTTTACATTTTAAAAATCGTACTTATCCCAAACTTTTGAATGGTAGTGTATCATGGTTTCCTCAGTAGTATGAAGCAGCACAACTGTTTCTCAAGCAGCAAATCAGGATATTTAGAATGATTTCTGAAGGATCATGTGACACTGAAGACTGGACTTTGATCACAGGAATAAATTACATTTTACTATATATATTGACATAGAAAACTGTATAGATTTATAAAATCATTTACCAACAACAAGAAAACATTCCCAGAAACATTCAGTCCACACTGTCCGACCACTGTTGTTATAATCAGGCAGCCTTTAAGTGGTTTAAAGTGCGATGTCCCATATCAGACCAACAAAAAAACACTTCACTCTTGCAAATGCTTGATGATGACATGCAGAAGGTCTTTATGGAGCGTGAGAGGAGCTGCACCTCCATGCTGAATTTGACAGTCTTCTGAGAGTGGAGAACATGGAGGCCATCCAGATAACAAACTACGTCAAATAAGAGAATGACCACTGCTGGCTTTGACATGCCCTCGGGTTTGGCACACTAAGATACACGTGTACAGGATTTATTGTACATTCTGTGAGCTTAACTCACATTATGAAACTTTTAAAGTCTGTTGTGATTGGTCTGTTGTGATTGGTCTACTCTGCACTGATTGGTCAGATGACCCAGTCTGTTCTGATTGGTCTACTCTGCACTAATTGGTCAGATGACCCAGTCTGTTGTGATTGGTTTACTCTACTCTGATTGGTCAGATGACCCAGTATGTTGTGATTGGTCTACTCTGCTCTGATTGGTCAGATGACTCAGTCTGTTGTGATTAGTCTACTCTGCTCTGATTGGTCAGATGACTCAGTCTGTTGCGATTGGTCTACTCTGCACTGATTGGTCAATGACCCAGTATGTTGTGATTGGTCTACTCTGCTCTGATTGGTCAATGACCCAGTATGTTGTGATTGGTCTACTCTGATCTGATTGGTCAGATGGCCCAGTCTGTTGTGATTGGTCTACTCTGCTCTGATTGGTCAGATGGCCCAGTCTGTTGTGATTGGTCTACTCTGCTCTGATTGGTCAGATGGCCCAGTCTGTTGTGATTGGTCTACTCTGCTCTGATTGGTCAGATGACTCAGTCTGTTGTGATTGGTCTACTCTGCTCTGATTGGTCAGATGGCTCAGTCTGTTGTGATTGGTCTACTCTGCTCTGATTGGTCAGATGGCCCAGTCTGTTGTGATTGGTCTACTCTGATCTGATTGGTCAGATGACTCAGTCTGTTGCGATTGGTCTACTCTGCTCTGATTGGTCAGATGACCCAGTATGTTGTGATTTGTCTACTCCGCTCTGATTGGTCAGATGGCCCAGTCTGTTTTGATTGGATCTTCCGTTTACAGCATGTGTCAGAAACCAAACAACCATTATCATTTCTGAAATTCAATCTTCCTCAGCACTTGTATTCACAGAGATACAAACAGTAACCATGACATAGGTTTTGCCATATCAATTTTAGCCCGGGTCCTCATCCTTTGGAAGTTGCTTTTGCAGCACAGAAAACAGCGTCTTCTTGACATGACAACAACACGAACCAAACTCTTTCAGTCTCAGCTACAACTACAGTGTTTGAGGGTTAAAGTAAGACGTTGTTCACGTTCAGCCAATGAAGAGCATATAGGCTGGCATTATTATAATTACAATCTGAAATAGCATAAAAGGATAATTTCTAGGCATTATAAGCCTGTGTTATAGATTAGCAGTGAGGGAAAAACATTGTAGATTGGTGCAGTCCTGCAATAAAGTAGCATAAAACTAATGGGGAACAACTTCGGCCTGCGGTTTTGAGAAGTCAAACTCTTCTGATGCACTGAGGAAAATTCATATATTCTGAATTACCAAGAGATGTAAGATAATAATGATGGCTAAACCATATTGAAATAAAAATCAAGGATGTTTTTACTGCTCAGAGAGTTTTAGTCTTACTTTTCCCCTCTGAAAATTGATTTACTGTGAAGGATTGTGTCGTTTTCACTAAAATATGTGTCTCTTGATTACTACTACATATAATCTTCTACAATCAGGCTACTCGGTTACAGCTGCCAAGAATGATGACAAAATCCTGAGCGTTTCTCTGACCCGTCTGCTTTGAGAAACGCACATCCCATGATGCTCAAGAAGATAATGATAATAACAAAGCCTAGGGGCTAAATATTTGGTTAAGTGTTTATTCGTGAACTACGACTTTATGACATTCAGCAAATGCAGATTGATTTAAAATTAAACAAGTCTTTGAATATCTAATAAATGTAATGCCACACACTTCAGTGAATCCAGTTCTTAGATCTTCTGAAGTTTATTTTATTACTATACTCTACTATATCTATTTGGCTGCTTCACGAGTTGAGTCATTGAGTCATTTATTCAAAGGGCTGATTCATTTGGTCATTGAATCATTCATGAAATGTGTGCTGATATTCAGAGCACTCTCGTGTGACATTGATATCATTAATCATTTGATATGAGACTAAACCCAAGAAGGGGAAAATGGCCAGACTACGTCATGAACTGGAAGTGTGTTTGTTTGGTTCTTGTAAAGCAGCTGACATTCTCGATAATGCCGGCTTGAACATTAGGGATATTATCGTAGATGATACATATCGCACAACCCTATGGTTTGCTCACATTTAGCGGAAGTAGCAGGAAAGACCCCAGATAAATTTGGTTCCATGGTTCTTACTGGGAAGCCCAGTGGTTCAACGGTGTCTTTGTTTGTTTATCTTCTGTGGATATCAGCACACATTGTGGTTTTAGAACGTTAGTTTGCCAAACTGACAGCGGTCTGATGCGTCATTATTTACATGTGCGAGTCAAGACAATGTGATTTTATTAACAAATTAACGTTCTGTCTGAAGCCCTATCCAAACAGGGTAAGGTGATGCCCTGAAGTAAAATATTTCACAGCGCTTATTTCAGTGTGTATTGTAACTTTCAGTAAATTGGAAATTTCAGTGTCCATTTTTGTTTTTGTTTGTGTGTTAAATTTGTACAAAAAATGTACAATTTCACTGTGATGTTTCTGGCAATATTGAGCTAGAAGATCTTTTAAATGTCTTTTGTATGATGTTAAATACCACATTCTCAAAGCAAGAGACCTTACATTTAAACCCAACTGTAAACTTTCTGCTTCGGATTTAAAAGCATTCCGCATTATATAACTTTTTTTTTAAATGTAATTAATTCATTAATGATTGAATTGACTTATTTTCCTCTCTACTTGTTTTTTGCTCTCTAATTGTGTAGTTTGTTAACAACGGTCATAACTTTTGTTTATCACTTCCGTTTGGAAATCATTTTCTGCCATTAATGAATTAATAAACTCCCCTGAGTCTTGTTGTGAGGTTTAGTGACCTCAGCTGTTGGAATGTGAAGATATTTCCTGCATTTACTTTGCTTTTCCTTTACGCTTTAGATGCATCCGTATCCGTTTGTCATAAAACGATTCCTGCCAGGCAAATCCCCGCCGCATACATGACAGATGTGTCCTGTCAGTCACAGTATTTGTTTAAAATGTTTACAGTCTGTTGATACAAGGCTCCTCGGGGCCGTATTTCAGATAACGGGCCCTTTTCATTTGACGTCATAACCCAGAATGTCCTCAACAGTCAATTATTGCGAATGTACTTAAGCCAAATAACTTCCCAGAATTCTGCAGAACTGTTCAAATCGACCAGCATTCATGTCAACATGGCTTTGCAGTGATGTTGATTCTCTGTGCTGTTTATACAGAAATATCAGATGGTCACGCACGTATTGCCATGGTGTCTTGTTTGCCTATATCAAAATTAGAGCGGTTAATTGTTATGTTGTTTCACAGCCTTGATGGTTGCTAAGCAGGTGGATGTTTTACACAGGATGATACCCATTAACTTCCCTTTAACCAAGAGCCTAAACTGTTGTTTTTTCCCCCCCTCCCTCACAGATGCCCGGTTTAGTGTCATGCCTTGGCGATCTAATAGTCACTGGAATCCTCATCCTCTTCTCTGACCACGTCAAATCAGAGATATGGACCAATGAAGGTACGGATTGCTTTTATTTGAGCCGAAGTGCATCAGGATAGCTAGTCACATTAGCATTGGGATTTGGTTGCTGCTAGTATTTGGATTTGTGTTCCTGCATATGGAATTGGTCAAAAGCCTTTGTAGCGTGTCTTCGTTTAGTCAAAGCAGGGTGAAATTATACTGTACGACTACTCCAGATAGCAAAAAGATTCATCATGTGAAAATGTAATTTTAATCCATACCAGGAACATAGCTAAGGCCTTGTTTTTTAGAACAATACACATCTTTGTTTAAAACTTCCAGTCTCCATTGCCTTACATATGAATTGCTCAATTAATGTTAGCCACTCTGGCTTGTCTGTGTGTGTGTGTGTGTGTGTGTGTGTGTGTGTGTGTGTGTGTGTGTTATGGCTGCTATTTAGCTGGCTAGAGAGGGAGAAATTTGAGAAATGTGGTGGGATTTCAAATACCATGCTTTTGCCAATATTTCCTGAAAGCCGACATTGAGCACGAGCGTTTCTTGAGCGCAGTTAAAACCCCGGCCACTGGAACGACGCCACTCCCAGTGTGTGTGTCTCTGTGCGCGTGTGTGTTTGCCTTTCTTTGTTTAACTTTTGGCAGTAAATGTCTGATATAAATACTGAATTCTGACTAGGCAGAAAAGTAACATAAACACCTTGATTCTTGCTATAGAATCTCTGCTAGGCTTTTAATGATGAACGTGTGAAGCAGTGGAATTTGGTGGAAGCAACTATTAAGGCCCATAGGACGATAGCGATAAAGATATAGTTCTTAAAATCGTTCTCAATATTAAAGAATAGCAGAGTTCACACCACAGCTATTACAATATAGAGGAACGATATCGTTGGGATCACTTTCGTAATGTTTTTTTTTTTGCTGCTGAACTATTAAAACACTGACAGCCAATCAGAATCTATTCTAGTTTAAGGGCTCGCGCATTTAAAATGGCAGACGACATTGCGGAGAAGTTAATCGCCGAGGTCCAGGAAAATCCACCACTGTTTGAAAAGTCGAGCCACTTTTCAAGAAAATTGGCTTGGAAAATAAACATATATTGACTACATCAGCTTCACCGTTAGATTATTAGCTGGATTACGCTTCACTCAAAACACAGCGTGCTGAGGACATCTGCTGGTGTAAATGCAACGGGAAGAGCAAAAACATGTTCAATGACGTTGTACTACACTTAAACCGCAGCGCGAGCTTAGAAAAACAGACCGTTGTCGTTCGTTGGTGTGGACGCAAATATAGTTATCGTTATACAGTAGTCAACTTTTGAAGTGGATCAAAACCTTTCATCAAAGTTATACATTTATTTTGAACAATACCCGTTCTTGTCTTATGACAACTTTGATGAATTTTTTTTATCCACTTCAAATGTTGACTACTGTAGTTATCTTTATAGTTATCGTTCTTTGGTTAGACGGCCCTTTAGACTGCAACAAATCAAATAAATAAACATTCCCCACCACTTTATGGACATAATCTTACATTTTTGCTGCTGTCCTGCACGACTCTATAGGCGTTCACAGTAAAATGTCTAAGAATGGCGAACGTTTCACGATGATGACATTTTGTTATTTCAATAAATGTATAAATGCATTAAAGACAATGACTAATTTTCTTTTTTAAGCATTTAATCAATTGCACGTGTTAACGTTAAATTCGACAGCCAAATTTATGCTCTTTATTTATTTAATTTAATGTATTTTATTTGATAGTTTATGGTAAATAGAACATACACCACCAATACTCCGACCATAGACTGTAAAAAAGACGGACAGCGGGGTCTCCACTTTCTTCCACTGTAGAAAAATGAAGCCAAAATATCCCTGAAACAGTCATTGTTAATGATGTCATACAGAGCCGGGGTGACCCCTATACTCGCGCAGACTCGGTCGTGATGTTACACCCTGTTTTTATAGCATCGAATAACTAACTAAAACCAAACTTATTGGAATAAAGAACACTTGAACAAACCTCAGTGTGAACGACCTAAAAACAATCTTTTTATTACAAAAAGTGTAATTGGTTTTGGGTAATTGGGTTTATGACCTATTCTGCAGCCAGCCACCAGGGGGCGATCTAAATGTTTAGGCTTCACTTTTCAGGCTGTGTGCGGCACACTTTGGCTCCGTCAAAATTCCTGTGCTATTGGCTTGTTGATAACATAATCACTTGACAGCTCTGGAATAGAACAGCTCACATGTCTCCTGCTTTCAGTTTCAGACGTCCAGTTCGGTGGACTGGGCTCCAGGGTCACCCTCACATGCGGAGGCTCACATGGCGGGTACGTACTCCGGTCTATATTAAGTTTTTGCTAGAACTCCATCAGACTTCCAGAGCTAAGCTTTCCTGTAAGGAGTGATAATAGTGTGCTTAACCACCCTCTGTAGGGGCACAGGGCCAGTCCTTATAGGGTTTGGACACATTGAGGCTATTTAGAGGGGGGTTGATTCCCCAGCCTCAGATTTTGGCAAGCCTTATGTTTCATATAAATGCAGTTGTTGAGAAATCCTATTTCTCGCCAAAAAGGATGCTATCCAAGAGAATACGGCTGCCAAAAATAAGATTTGCAAGACACACAAACGAGTAACGCGATACGTAGGTCCAGCTGGCGTTGATAACTGTTATTTGGTCGTAGGTATATCTTTGATTAAAACAGGTTTGCAAGGAAACTAGGTGAAGGTTCTTGACTGAGATGTTGACTTTGAGTTTTGGATGGGGTCGGCAGGTCTCCGGTGGAATGGCGGTTCAATGGGAGCTCAGTACCGACGTGGCAAACACACGAGGGCTCGCTTGCACTACTCAACACCACACACTCAATGGAAGGCAACTACAGCTGCCATGATGAACGAGGAACTTTACTGCAGTCCATCAAACTACGCCTGGGACGTAAGTCAACTTCAGTGATACAAGAGTCCCTTGTTTCGGGTTTTGACTCACAGTGTGAATCACTTGATAAAATATATGAGAAAAAGGGTTTCAATAATTGTCTCAGGGCCATTTTTAATTTAATGTTAATCAAAACTAGACCATTAGGGATGGATGTACAATTCATTTAGTTGAATTTAGTTTCATCCATCCAGCCATCCATCCCTCCATCCATCCATCCATCCCTCCATCCATCCCTCCATCCATCCATCCATCCCTCCATCCCTCCATCCATCCCTCCCTCCATCCATCCATCCCTCCATCCATCCATCCATCCCTCCCTCCCTCCATCCCTCCATCCATCCCTCCATCCATCCATCCATCCATCCCTCCCTCCATGCATCCATCCATCCATTCCTCCATCCATCTATCATCTGTCTGTCTGTCATCCATCCATCCCTCCCTCCATGCATCCATCCATCCATTCCTCCATCCATCTACCATCTGTCTGTCTGTCATCCATCCATCCATCACCTGTCTGTCTGTCATCCATCCCTCCATCCATCCATCCATCCATCCCTCCATCCATCCATCCCTCCATCCATCCCTCCATCCATCCCTCCATCCATCCATCCATCCCTCCATCCATCCATTCCTCCATCCATCCCTCCATCCATCCATCCATCCATCCCTCCATCCATCCATCCCTCCATCCATCCCTCCCTCCATCCATCCATCCATCCCTCCATCCATCCATCGATCTATCCCTCCATCCATCCCTCCCTCCATCCATCGATCCATCTGCTTTTAGGACAAATCTAAATAATTTTCTCTGTCAATCAACATTCTTCTGAAAATGCTTTTGATTGAACTTAACTTGTACAGATCCCAGAACATTCCTTCTTAACCCTAACACCGTTTCAACAGTGTTTATCCCTCACAGCCTCATTTTCATCTATATAAAATTAAATATGGCATCTACCGCGACTATATTAGATTCTTTCTTCTTTAAAAATTATGTTGGCTCACTAAAATAAAAGTCTTGTAGCAACATAAACATAACAGATCTGATACACTTTGAATCATGGTCTAGACTCATTACACATTTCATCTCGGATCATATATCCAAGAAGTGCATGAAGTGCCTCTAAAATGTTGCTTCAATGGGAAAGTGGTTCTAGATTGGTGGATCACATGTCTGTCTGTGTATATATACACTACCGTTCAAAAGTTTGGGGTCAGTGAGAATTTTATTTTTATTTTTTGGAGGAAAGAAATCAATACTTTTATTTATCAAGGAATAATTAATTTGATCGAAAGTGACAGTAAAGACATTTATAATGTTACAAAAGTCTTTTGAACTTCCTATTCATCAAAGAATCCTAAAAAAAACAACAAAAAAAATGTACAACTGACAGACCAACAACTGTTTCAACATTGATAATAATAATAAATGTTTCTTGAGCATCAAATCCTCATATTATACTGATTTGTGAAGGATCATTTGACACTGAAGACACTGACACTGGTGATGCTGAAAATTCAGCTTTGATAACAGGAATAAATTACACTTTACTATATATTCACACAGAAAACAGCTGATTTACACTGGAATAATATTTAATACTATAACTGATTTTTGTTGTATTTTTAATCAAATAAGCGCAGCCATGGTTAGCAGAAGAGAATTCTTTTAAAAGTATTTAAAATCGTACCGACCCCAAACTTTTGAACGGTAGTGTATATATATATATATATATATACACTGTTAAGATTTGAATTTTATGCAGATATTATATCAATTAAGAGAAAACCACAGTTATTTATTTACTGTTTTTATTAATTAATTTATTTCTATGATCTTTACTTCAACTTTTTCCATAATTATGTTTACTTAATTTAAAAAAACTTGGATGTTACATGATACTATTTTAATTTGTGAATAGTTATATATTATAAATCTTTAACACTTTTAATAATAAAGAGCATTCAGCAGCATATTCATTTTTGCTGTGGTGTTGAAATTG